ATATATTGATATATTTATATATATATATATATATATATATATATATATTGATATATTGATATATTTATATATATATATATATATATATATATATATTGATATATTTATATATATATTTATTGATATAAATGTATCGCGGCAGTGTCAGCATTTCAAAAATTCACAAAATAAAAAAATGTATAAATTAGTAAAACAAAAATAAAAAATCAGATCTGTACCCTCGTTCTTAAAGGTAAAAGTGGCATATTGTGCGTTTTCTGCCACTTGGAGGCGCTGAATGGAGCTTCAGTTTTCATGTTTATTCATCGCATACTGAATAATACACTGATGCTTTAGCACATATAGATGTTGAAGAGTTCAGGTCGAAGACAGCAGGACTAAACTTTCGAATCGGGGAAACCTAGTTAAAAGAGCGATGAGAACCGCTCTAACAAGACGGGTGAGTGAGCGAGAGCGAGCGTGACTACTTTGGCCGATAGTGAGACGCGAAATTAGCAAACGACGCGTTCCTGCGAAACGCGACATTTCCGAGGCGTCAGTTCTTCATTCCTTCTTTTGTAATTTATATTTAGTATATCATTCTCGCGCGTGTGTGCGACGCTTGACCGACGATTGATTCGCACCCTCGATCGAGTCGCGCGCGCCGCCCCGAGCGCTCAAGTACACGCTAAACGTGGACTAATGAATTGGGAGTGAGGTGTTCCACCCTGCGCAACCCCTCGCGTGGCTCTGTAGTGTTCCCATAGCAGCATTGACCGCTTCTATTTATATAACACTCTCGTACCTTCGTCACCCCCGCGCGCGCTCTCGTCTTCGCGCTTCCATCCACCCCAACCACCCCCTCCGCACGCGCTCGTGTGCCCCGCGTGGACGTACGGAAATATATAGGTAGAAGAGTCGCGCGCACGCGCGCGTGCGTGCGGTGTATGAGAATGTATATACGTGCTCATGCATACACACACACACACACACACACACACAGATTCGCGTGGAAGCACACGTGGGCGAATTATTCGCGAAGAAACCTCGACTTACCTAGATTCGAGCCGTACAACACCGGCGACACGCTCTCGTCGATTCCCATCGATTCGAGCTCACCACGCGAAAAGGAAAAGCGCTCGAGCGCGACGTAGGACAGATAGAGGAGCTATTTTCGGATCGTCGCTGCAGGGTCGAGTGCGTGTTCTCTCCCGCGGTCGCGATTTTTAAATCGCGAGGGCTGTCGCATCAGGCAAAAGCCGTCGGGGATTGCCGGACAGGCGGCTCGATAGTTGTCCTCTCCCCGTGTGGATGTTTTCGTGGGAAGAGAGGGACGTCGCAATTGGCGCGTGTGCACGTGTCTCTCGCTTTTGTCGCTCCGCGGCGTCCGCGAGTCCTCGACGCGGAAGACACGAGTGGATTTTCGGACGTTACGCGGACGTGTAACTTGCGCGATGCACGTATCTCGCGTCTTTATTTTTAGACGGTATCTCTCTCTCGTCCGTTTA